GTACAGTTACACACTCTTAAAGAAAGTAATCAACTGCTGAATTTTCTTAACCAAACTGGTTCTGCAAAACCAAGTTGAGTAAATTTAGCAATATACATGTTTTCTTTAAAAGAAACTTGGTTGAGTAAATTCAGCCCTTTATTGTTTTTAATGTGCATAAACATCGTCTTTCATGATGATTTTTGACATATTTGATTTTGTTAACTAGGTGTAACAGTAACTAGGTGTTAAATTTTAAAGTAAAGAAATAAAGTAGAATTTTTAGGTTTTAAATGTAACAAAATAAAAGTAAATGTAACGATTTAAAAAAATACTTGGTAAAATTACAAATCCTCAAAACAATTACTTTAGAACTGTCACAAATTTAGTTTCTATAAACCTCTTAATATTTGGAGTGTGATGGGATTTGTGTCATGTGCAGCTGTGATAGATGGATCGCCAACAAACAATATTTTTTAAAACAATAACCAGCTGGAAATGAAATAAGAGTAACAACTTTCTACTTTTCACCTTTTTAAAATGTAAGGGGTAAAACGTTTGCTGAAACATTATTACTCATGTAAAGTACAGGTAAGCCAAATTTTGACTTTAGCAAAAATAACAAAGTATTTTTACCTTGTTGCTTTACAACTCTGAAAACTGTAAGTTGTATCAACAGGATTTTTTAACTTTACATGCCAGAAGTGTTTAGTTGTCACACATATCAGTATATGATGTTTGTTCTTTGTGTCATGTAAAAATACTCTTCCAGCTTTAAAGAGAAAATTCTCAGCTCACACACAAACTGTAGATGCTGATTTCTTTTTAATTTTTTGCTGTTTTCTTTCTGCTGTATGAATTATTACTGCCAAATAGATAATAGATACTGTATATGAGAGGTAAAATATAGGTATGTGAGAGTGGCAGTATGGTTAATGGCTTGCACGGCCCCTCATGGCCAAAAGCCACCATAGTCTCATGATAAACCTGCACATTTTAATGTATTTTTGTTTGGGTTTTTCTAAATGAAGGGAAAAGAAAATATCAGTGCTTCGGTAACCTTAATAGCTTGTTTTGTGAGACGAAATTTAGTTTAAAGTTCTTCCAGCATATTAAAAAAAATTAGGATAATTTCCAAGTATACCGATAAAAAATATTCAGACTTTTTCCTTTTGGCATTAGTTTATGTTCCTTCGTGATGTGTAATTGTGTCGATTTAACACTGCTTGTCCTTTAGACTCTTTGCATCACATCGCAATATTCTATTGTAATTCTTTTGAAATGCGTGTGATGATGCAATGCATCTATTTTTAATCTTTTACTAAACTATAGGTCCACAAGCACGACACAGAGAGACAAAAAAAAAAAAGGCTCAGCATCTCTCTCTGTCTTTCAGGCTAAATATAGCGCCTCGGCTGCCCACTCATTTTGACAAAAAGGAAATGCTGTGTGTATCAGCTTCTGCACTGCATTAATAGTTTCTATTTTAGAGGTAAGCAGCGTTTTATTGGGGTCAAGTCCATAAATGCTGTGGAATCAACTTATGCATGCTGTTTTGTGTTTCTTAAAGAGAAGTCGAGCTRTCTTGTGAGGAAAACAGAGAGTCAACAGTGAGCAAAGCAGTGAGATAGACAGAGACTCCAYTTGTGGCACCCGGAAACCTGTGGTTAAACAGAGAACATTCACCTTCTGAGGCAATGGTTTAACTTTGTCTTAAAGAAATGCATTTGTTACAAGATTCAAAGCTAAATCATTTACAGTTCACTTCTTTTAGAGGCTTTGGAYTGAGTGGTCTGTATGAAGGAAACAGCTTAGAAAAGAAATTAGAAGTTTCTAAATGCTTTAAAGCAAACCTGCAACGTGTCAGAGGTCAGTGTGTAGTTTAGAAAATAATACATGCACTTACACACAAAGTCACCGTGTGCATATGTGCTAGTGACACACAAAGATCACATGTTTGACACACACCTTCTGACAAGAGGAAACAAACTCACCAGAGTGCTCCATTCATGCTCCCTCCCTCTGTTCGACCCACGTTAGTTCAGTTTGTGAGTGGAGGAGAAGTCAAGGGCAGCTTCATCCTTGTTTTCACAGAGGAAGGTAAGTTTATAACATCTTATCTTTAATCCACCAGCTGCTGTTTGTGAAGCAGATTTTGGTTGTTTCTTTGCCTGATGTGTTGCTGCAAAGTGTCGTGGATACACGTTTGGTTTCAGCTCTTTATTGACTGGATCTCATCTTCACTTTTTCTCAATCCTAACTTATTTTTGGTTTTGCCTGTTCTTGACTTTCTTGTGTTTGGTTTGAGCTTTTCTCAGCCTGATTTCTRCTTGTTTTGCACCTCTCCACTTGGACAGTTTTTTACCTTGACTGTCATTTAAGTTGACTGGTTATTAATGTCCTGAACGCACTCAGGTTTTCGGCATTTTTCTTTGATTTGGCAGTGTTGAAGTATTAGAAATTTTGTAATTAGCGTTCATAATAATAATCTCAATTCTGTAGATGTAAAAAATGCCTCAGAAGATTACATTGAGTGTTTAAAACTTGCTGTTTTAGACCTTATTTATTTTATAAATGTATAAGCACATGCTTTATGTTTCATCTGGTCAGATTTGAGTTTGTACAAGTCCAAAAATTGGCACTTTCTTCTAAATTGGAATATAAATCCAACAAAACAGCACATATGAGATTGTGTAGTGGGTGTCTGAGACATGACTCACTAACCTGTGTGAGACCTGGGTCATTAGAGGTGAAGGTGGTAAGAGTTTTTAGCACCGTCGGGTAGTGACAAGGTCCCTACGTAGCTGTGTGTTGGCGTTGGTTGCCTTTAATTTGTGGTGCTTCTACAAATCAGAATCACTTAAGGATCATTTCATCTACAAAAGACTTGKGCTGTGTAATGGCTGTGTTTACTTCCAACTAATCACAGCTGTATTTAAAAAAATAAATTAGCAGCAATCAATGAGTCATTAGACACGGATGTTGCTGAACCTGTTCCAACAAATGAAGGAATGTGCCTTTCCATGAAGCGTGAACACTATGAATTTAATTTCAAGGTAAAGAAGTGTGAAAGTACCTAAGTATTAAGTCAGTAAAAGAGGAACTGGACATGTCATACGTCACATACAAAAGCAAAATCATACAGAGATGTCAGCCAGCATAAGAACTGCAAAACAGAGCTTCAGAACATTTTGTAGAACTTATCTGTGTAATCTCGACAGGCACCAGTGGATGGACAAGGTTTAATATAAACTATGCCTCTTTCTCTTTATYGTGTCCTCTTCTTGCAGCTGATGGAACCACAATGTGTGTGAGGCGTGACCAACGCGGCCCATTCGGATAACACGAGCAGCACGGACAGCATGGAACCTGAAGGTAGACCGGCACTCTCAGATTCGAGTACACTGCACTTCTCAGGACATAAGGAAATGATCTGTCCTTTACCAGGTTCTAAATTKGTTTAAATGTATCCTCAAGTGTGCAAAAGTCCACTAAAATCCACTAAGCCAAGGTGTGATCACCTTAAAGCAGGGGTGTTGTGTAGTTTGCCACTACAAAGAATACCGGTACATGGGCGTCCCACCAAATTCTGCCCAATGTCAGACCTAAGATCTCAACTCATACTTTAAARGTTAAAGTTTACAACAGGATGATTAAGTCTTGCATTTTTGGAAAGGTTGCCTGAAAAAGCCTAATTTCTCTGTAAGAGGCAGGATGTGTTTGCAAAGTTTCATCGTGATGAACCACAAGACTCCTGGAGCAATGTCCTTCAGTCAGCTACGCAGCTCCGTCTGGGCCTTCCTCTTTTCTGAGACGTTTGCAAAGTAGTGCCCCACGTGATGTTTGGAGAAAACAAAACGTAGCATATCAGCACAAAMACATCATACCTTACTGTCAAAGTCTTTTAAAGTCAAATGTTYGGCCATCTGTCTGAAGTCCAGACTTCAACCTGACTGAATTTTTGTGGTTGGATCTTAGCAGAACGGAAGCAAAGTTGGAACAAAGAGTGGGCCAGAACTCTCCCACAACCATGACTGATACAGTCCTACAGAAAACCACTATTTCAAATTTCTGCTGCCAAAAGGTGGATCTGCTGAATAATGAGATGAACTTCTCTTTTCACACCAACTGTGAATTTTGTTTTACTTTTGTTTAATAAATAATGACACAATGGAATCTGCTGTGGGAATTTGTACACTTGAGTTTCGATTGGAGTGATTTTAGGACCTGGTGAAGATCAGGTCATTTTGTAATTCAGTGTTTTAAAGACAAGACTAAATGCAGAGCTGAACTTGATGTTAAGACTTAACTTCCCACACGTGGATTTATCATCAGGTTGCTGCTCCCCCACGGTTCCTGAGTCAGAACTGTACCGCAGCGTCCAGGCTGCCCTGCCTCGAGGGTCAGACCAGCACCAGCCCACAGACTTGTGTAACAAAGGTACCAAGTCATCTATGGCTGCATGCGTGTACATGCTTTTTGTATGTTATTATTCAAGTTGAACTTATTTTTTGTAGTTTATTGTGCTCATATGTAATCAAACAAGCCTCATGAAGAATTAAAGCGGCTAACTTCCTCTGTGTTTGTTTCTATGTTGTTCAATATCCAAGAGCATTAGCAAACTTTTTCTGTGTACAGATATTTATTGAAGCCAGTATGACTCAAACTGTGGAATAAAGCCACATCGGTATTTTGAGGCATATTTCAGATTAGCGCTATAAATGTGACTTTGTTAGTCATGTATTATTGTCTTGTGTGTCTTTTTGCAGGAATGCTGAGATGGACACTTCATAAAAAAGTTCAAAACAATCCGGTGAACAGCTTATCTCTTCTGTGGGTGCTGATAAAAGAGCTGGAAAAGGTAAATGCAATGCCACTGTTGACATTCTCAGGTTCCTCTTTAACACACACACTTCACCTCGAATTTGTTTGTAGTGAAGCTTTTTGCTCTGGTGGATTCTAAAATTTCTTGAGCTTGCACTTTCAAAGAGGAAGGAAGTTAAAGTCACCTAAGACGCATTTCAAGTCACTATTGTAGTTACAGCCGAATGTCCGCTGTGAGCCTTGATGCTCTGCTTGTGTCCCCACAGGCCGAACGATGGGATTCTCGCAAGTTCATCATCCCTTTGCTCCACACACTGATGTACGCCATCGTTCAGGTGCAGTATTCTCAGATTGTTGCATATTGAAACGTAAAGTCAAATGTCCTCATCGCTATCATTTTAAAGTTATTTATTAAATGCTTATGAGTTCATTTAACAAAAACGATACTTTTTTTCTTATGTTTGTTTTGTTCTGTCTTCTTGTGAATGGGTGTTCTGAACTGTAATTTCATTGTGCTCTGTACAGTGACAACAAAGGTTCATCCTTGCCTTACCTTACCTTACCTTACCTTATCTAATCTAAATTCTTAGAAAGTGATCAAACGATGTACATTTACTGATTAGCCTGTGGTATTAATCAAATTCAAGATGACCACCACAAGCAATCAGCCATAGCCAACACATAAGTACTATTCAGTCTGATACCCAGATACTGAGCTACAGTTTGATGTGGTAATAACTGAGTCATCCTTAATGCATTTTTCAAGCACTAACAGATCTCGAAGTATCTGGCAATATTGCATTGTTTTCATGTTATTTACAAGGTTTTGTCAAAACATTTATAACACCTGATTCAATGCCTCTGGGTGGGTAATACACAATAACAATGTTATGATGGTGTTTGTAAGCTGGCTATGCCTATAGATCCTAGCAGGAGAAGAAATGTATACTGTAATATGTCCTGGAAATTAAAAYGTTTAATGCAGTAGTGTCACTGGAGCCAGTATTTTGTTCCTCGTGTCACAGCGTTGGCATAAAGACGCTGCATCATATTTTTTCCTTCGTTGCTTGTTGATGCTTTGTGTGTTTTGTGACATTTCAGACTGCCTACATTCCAGATGAACTCTACAAGCGTGTGTACGACTTCTGTAAGAGACTCCTGACTTATCCTCGGCCTTATTGCACGCTGGGTCTCAATTACACGAGACAGATAAAAACTGAGCGCCTAATTCCAGGTAGGGACCACAAGTCAAGTCTTCAATAGATACCATACTGCTTGAATTTATTTTAAAAAGTAGTTTTATTTTTTTTGTAGTTTATTTGCATAAGTATTTTCATTTTCACTGAGTTATTTAAGGTTTGTTTTATCAACAGGTCTGATGTACCAGAGGATGGTCACAGCTGAGCAGAAGCTAAAAAATGAGCACTATCCTTTACAGGAGAGGTGAGTCATGGTTAGATCAGTGGTTCTCAAACGTTTTCTGCCAGCCCCACTTTGGGTTATAAAACCTCACACACACAGATACACACACCATAGTTCCTTTATTGTTTCTCCTCTGCAGGGTCTTTGTGTTGGCTGACCCAGAGGTCTTCTGTGGACCCTTGATTCCTGTGCTGGAGGGGGATTTGGAGGCATCTGGATCTACATCAACTGGATTTAGAAATCCTCTCGATCACATGCGCAGTGTGGTTCAGCACTCCATCCAGGCTTGTTTAGGGCCAGAGAGGTGTAATGGGCAGAAACTGTCTCAGGCCTTGAGGGTCAGTTTGATTGACAGTTCTCACTTTTTACCCTCCCTTGTGGGGTTTTCACATCCTTTTCTGTTCATACCGTATCTCTGTCTGCTGTAGTAACAACGTATATTTGTCACAAATGCTAACTTATTTTAGCCTTGATTTCTGTTGATAGCATCAGTTTTTGCTCTCCCTCACTGAGGGTTTTGATTTGATTTGATTTATTGATTCAACAGGAAAAGATTACTAAAAATCAAGCCTGACTCAGCATAATTGCTGTTTTACAGCAGGTTCCTGTTCTGCAGCACATAAAACACTCAGAAATACAGCATCACAATCACATCATTATACACCATAGACACAAAGACAAACAAGCATACCAAATTTCAGGAAGGCAGCATTTGCAAAATAGGACGTCTAAATATGAGCACAACAAAAAGTGTCCAGCAGATGGCAGACAAGATTCTTCTTAATGGGCTGTAGTTTTGAAATGGACTTTATGTTTTGAGGAATGTCATTCCATGGTTTAGTATAAACATAGAAGAAAGACCTCTGGCCGTAACAGTTTTTAAAAGTTGGTAATATCAGTTGTCCTTTTGTAACAGATCTAGTTGAATGACCACTTACAGAATTTGATTTGGGTAACAATGCACAGAGAGTTCCATAATTGGCACCTTGGAAGATCTGAAAATATAAATTAATACCACTATACAAATCAAAATTCTGAAAAGTCAAGGCATCAGACAATGAAAGAACTGTACAGTGATGAGTCCAACCAGGAAGTTTTTATGAATTTTGTATGCCCTGTTGGTATAGCAGGAGTCAGCCATGATTCTGATATAGCCATAACATGTGCTTGTGTCTGAGCAAGTATTACTTTGAATTCATCCAGTTTAGGTWCAAGACTTCTCATATTTAAATGACAGATTTTAAAGCCTCTTGTTTCTGTTGTCTAAACCTCAGCAGAACATGTTCAGGGGCAGATGTATGCACGTGTCTGACCTAGAGTTTAGAACTCTCTGTGTGTGCTTCCTGTGAGTGTGTACATTCAACCACGTGTTTTTTGTTTTGTTTTGTTTTTTGAACAGGACAAAGACGCCGAGTCGTACTTTCAGGAAGTGATGGCGATTTTTGAGCGGAGCCTAGAGGAAGGCAGCAGGGGAGAGGAGAAAAGCCTGAGCAGCCATCTTCAGGAGCTGTACAACAAGATTGTTTCAGACTCCGACTCCGGTACGAGCTCTCTGTCTCTGTCAAGCTTTTATAAAGCTGTGCTATGATGTAGGCCACCGCATCCCTTTCAGCTGAGTCATACATAAACTTACTGGTTTAGTGCAACATCTATAAAAAAATGAAAGCCAGAAATATTCAGTAAAACATATTCATATTTTCTGGTTTTATTCATTTTATTGTTTGTTTTCAGTAAAGCAAACATTACAACTTACTGATGTGTTGCATTAAAATCAGTATCATTTGTAAACCGATGAATAATTTCTGATCAGATGTGTGTTATCTGTGTGTTTGTGCTGTGGCAGTGAAACATTTGTTTCTATAATGGTGTATTTGCATTAGTGTTAAAAATCATTTGTGCACTGCTTGTGCACCACTGATGATAAATTGTGGTGACGGTCTATTTCATCACAGTTTGTGGCTTGCAGATTGAGCAGAGTAAGATAGCTGAACAGAGCTCTCACTGCAGTTTTTTTAATTATAAAATACATTTTGCATCCTTTTACAAAACCATTAAGTCATAATGTTGGAAACACCCGACTAAACAGAAGCAGACTTCCCTTTTTTTCCCTTTAAGAATTCTGATTCATTGATGCATGAAAATTGTGCATCACATCATAGTAACCTGATGTGTTATGTATTCTGGAAACAGCATCCATCTTTTGAGCAATTTGTCCTTGTCCTTTTACTGCTGATTTGGTATTGCTGATGATGGACKTGTTTTGTAAGTTAAAAGGCGACATCAAACATCTGTCTGCATCCTCTGTGGCCACATCTGTCCAGTCAGCTGTGTGTATTATTAGCTTTTCCTAAGATCTATTTCCAGTCTTCCTCTTGCTGTTAGTGACCCATCTGATAAACCTGCTAACAATCTTTCCGGCTGGAAGAGAGACGGATGGACAGTAGTGTTCACAACAAGGAAGTCATGGAGGATGGAGGGGGCTTTGTTTTTATTCCCTTTTGTTGACAGTTTCATAATTTTTCCTCCCTTTATTTTCCTCCACATGTGCTGCAGAGCCATTGTGTGGTGGACCCCTGTACAACTGCCCTCTTCCAAACCCAGAGATGAGCTTCTACCTGTGGACAGAGGACCTGGACATCTGTGAGTGGCTCAAAATATTGTTTGCATCAGAAGGAATTTGACAATAATGCTCGGCTAAAACAAACATCTTAATATTTAGTGTGTCTCCCTGTCTTTTTTCTTTTTTTTGGTGATTCTGGTCATTAATATAAAGCCTTAACAGTGGCTGTATCTGAATACGCTCAGATTCTAATAGAATAGAATAGAATAGAATAGAATAGAATAGAATAGAATAGAATAGA